CACGTATAATTAGGAAATCCCGATAGACATTGAGGTGCCATCACCATAGGCGAACAGGAACACGCAAGATTTCCGAGAAAAATGACGTGTGTGTTCTAGAACATCCGAGAAGACTTGATAACTGTCGAACCAAATCGAATTGCGTTTTAGGAGTTCCAATTTCGCCGCCGAAGTAATAAATCGTGCGCACTTGTGTATTCGTGAGTGATAAATAATATTGTGGCTGCTACAAATCGATTCATTTCAAGACTGTTATCAATTTATTATTAATTAATTGTAAATAAATAAAGCACATAATTAAATGTACGTTCCAATAATTTAGTTATTCTTGACATTATTTTTACAAAGACAAAATTTCAGCTTTCGACTGATACCGGATTCAAACCCGGCCTGTCTAAGTCGTTACCAAGCATCTATTTCACTAGACATTGGGCCTGGAAACTTGGATCGTAAGCTCTGCGAAAGATGAGAAAGATTAAAACACAGAAATCAGATACTTAGTATTGGATGTTACAGTCGTCCCAGTATATTACCTCAAACTGGTCGCCCCAATGTAACATAAATGGCATAAACATGTTAAGAGTTAGGATGTCCAAACTACAGACTTACAAAGAAGTGGACCTTAAAAGTTGTAAGCACTTACGATTTAGTGATCCGAAAGGGATTGTGCAGTTTCCTATATCAAATGGCCTGAATGGAAAATGGCACCGACGCGATGTAAATATTTTAAATCGTTGAGTGAAGAAATTTAAGTAATTCCTTCCGAAATCGGATCCCTCAAAATTATAATAGATATATATGCCTTCCAGAAGCTGTATTTTCACATCTAAGGGTTTTCACATCCCTCAAATTTGAAATCGGCGACCAACTCCGATATTTTTTCGCACACTTATATTTCAGGTGTTTAACGTCAAATAGTGAAATATGCCCTTCCAAAATCGTCTGCTTTTGCAATAACGTTATATAATCGCCTATTGAAATCGCATTTATCAAATCGATACGGAGTTGCGCCGACAACCCTTATCGCATTGTCAATATTTAGCGAATCACTTTTTTAAACAATATATCTACGCTTAACAATTTACTGCCGTAGATCTTTTCCACTCTAAATTATAAATGGACGCGCACGCTGGAAATAAAAAGAAAATAAAATCTCATACAGCATTGTTCTACAAATTTTTAAATCCGAACTTGATATGCGGGTTCTTAACGGCTCTACGTCCTGGTTTTATAGCAAAATTTATCTCACGCTGCTTTCCCAGCATCTCGATTTGAAAAATGATTTACATCCCAGAATTAAAATCCTGTTCCCATAGAAAACCACTTAGATATAGACTAGACGCGAAAAAAAAACTAGTCCGGCTCGTCTAGCCTAGACTTTCCTAGTCCCGCATTGTTCACCAATGCCGGTGGCGCAAGTGTAATTTTCAGCGACAAACCGAGAAAATAATCAAGTAAACAAAGTCGGAAAAATGAGAAAAAAAAGTGGCACTTAATTTCTTTCTAATTTACATATAGCGAGACTAATGGGACTATAAAAAATAACACGTAGGGGTGGTTTCACATAAATTAAATGTTACACAAATTTTAATCTTTCGTATAAATGTTCGTGCATTTGCGATTAGGGATATTCTGTACGCTAATTTCAATGCGGGAATTTATTTACTATTGGCGCAAGAATGGGAGGAACACACAATTCGGGGCGAAATGAAATTTTTAACGATATAATCAATTGTGGAGAAGAATTTAATACGTCAACATCTTTTTTAAATGTGTCCCTTATTGCTTGCAATATTCTCGTTACGTCTTCTCTTGAGATCGCCGTTTCTTACATTTTTTTTTGATAATGCGCGTGTAGAAAGTGCGACAGTAGAAACTTGCGTTCTGCAATAAGTTACGAGCTTGTATCTTTGCACTATCTCGCAAATGTCAATAAGGTATTAAAACTTTTGCACGATAAATCTTGGACGAGCTGTAAAATAAAACTAAAAGTTCTGGAGGAGGAGGAACGTTTTCCCTAGACGATTATCGATGGAAGAAAAAGTTCAAGTTAAATTTTGCTATTAAAAAAAGTAAGAAGTTGTGTACAAAATAAATCGGATGCAAGTCACGCTGAATGAAAGTTCGACTTATTAAATATGGTGCAATTTCTTCTCGTTCACGGTTTTAACATTATAAAAACAACCAAGGATCACGGTTTTTGTGGCATTTATTATAAGCTCGAATTCGAACTTACTTTTTAATTTGTCCGTGGTCTGTCATATAACCCCAAGCCTTGAAGTATGTAACTGAATATTATTCACTAATTGATACTAATAATGTTATCTAAAAAAAATCAGCTTATTTTTTTGTGACTTGGTTTTACTCAAGAATAGGAGGAACTTAAGTTACAATATGTTTACACAAAAATTTCGAATAGGCCCAAATTTTTAAGCAAATAATTGTTAAATTGAATAATTTCGACTTTCCAGTGTGGACACGTATGCATATCCATATATGCGATTTTTTTTAATTGAAATAGCTTTATCTGAAATGTGTAAATCAATACTGCTTCGATAGAGATGAAATACTAAACTACAAAATAGTCATGCTTATCCTGTCAAATTTTGATTTTCCAAAACGCTTCCAAAGTGGCGTTGTATCGAAAAAATTGCAATGTTTACTGTGGTCTTATTATAACAGTACAGCATTGCAATTTTGCAAAAATCCTTCATGTTCTCTTACCACAACACTGAGAGAAAAGAAGGCTTTATTATTAACATAGTAACATTTCGCACCCAAAAAGTTGCTGTTATGACATTTGAACATAAAATCTAAATAATAACAATTGAATAATTGTAATAAGACAATATATATAATAATAACCCAATGACAAAAAATTGTATGATTGACTCAAATACTGCTTACGGTAAAACCATTTTCTTGGCACCAATAAATAGTAAGATATGCATAAGGACATGGTGCCATTTTTTAAAAACAACCTAGCTACGTCTTACTTATTAGATGAACATATACTTAAGGCTAACTATATATGTTTTTCTGTATCTTTAATATACTGGGTAAATAAATCATAATGCGATTCCAGCAATCAACTGTATTCTAATTACCTATTAACTTACGAACGGTTGTAGTGAACTTTCGAATCTTATAATGTATATTTCACAATGCTAATGCAAGGCGTAATGTCTTGATGGAGCTATTCCATTGCGTTCTTGTTTGTAGGTACTTGGAACATTTACACCTAATACACCACGAATTAGATGTGAATTTAAATTACTGGAGGCCATATTTTAATATATTAAGGATCAATATGTTTTTCTTCGTACAAACAAATTATGCATGTTTATTAATTATAAA